TAACTGAGACTTGTTATAGCACTTGTATATCATTGCTCTTTTGTTGATTTTGATTGCTTCCATTGTCCTCATTTGTAAGTCGCTTTGGATAAAAGCATCTGCTAAATGATTAAATGTAATGTAAATGTAAATATAGAAGTTGTACAGTGTCATTCACAAACACTAAACACACATGAAACTGAAATAATGCAATAAACATTAATTTAACAACATTAGATGTAACATACAACCCTAGTGTACAAAACTGATAAGAACAAAATAAGAAAGTTATTTCAGCAAAAAAAACATCAAATTTGTAATGTAATGCAGGGAATTCTGGGAATGTCAATTTACGGTTATTCACTGTAAATTATACGTTCGTTTTTACTTCCAAAAACAGTATACTACCATAAAATTACATGTAATGTCCAATAAAGTTTTTCACCATATATAGTAGGGGAACTTACCGTTAACCATTTAACGGGATTTTACTGTAGCATTTTTACAGTCTTTTACAGTCAAAGACTGACACGGAAGAGAAGAAATTGCTGGATAAAGTAATTATTTTTGCGGAGTGTCTATTTACACTAAGTGCAAATAGGCCGCCTTGTTGGCAGAGGCTATTTACACTAACTCCGCCCACCAACATGTGATTGGGCTAGTCAACACTACAAAAGACGATCATTTAACTACATCTCCAGTGGCGTAGATGGTAAAGCGCATGCCCTGGTCATTTTTGATGCGATCGACAAGTTTGAATCCGCCTTTTGCCAAACTTTTTTCTCCTTTTTTAAATCTCATATCACATCGGAAAGGCATTTGTTTTCAATAAAAATGAAGGAAATAATCAAAAAGTTGAAAATAAAATATCGGGTAGGGTTAGGGTAAGGAGGGCTTATATTGTCCCATTAAGGTGGCATCCATTTAATAATTTGAATTAAAATGATAATTTACACTCAATACATTATTATTGCATTCTGTTTTATAATGTACTACAATACTGAGGTGCAGGTAATTGCCACTATTTGCAAGAAGTAGTTTAAATAGCAGAAAATCCTGTTATTTTAACAGTGTAAAGCCGCGATCACACTAGAGTTTGCGCAAAATTCCCTGGCATGCTGCAAAAGTCATGATATGACGTCATGCTCTGCAGCATCTTTTAAAAAACTTAAATTAAACACATAACTAGTGTTGTCAAAAGACCCGGTACTTCGGTACCAAGTCGGTATTGAATGGTGTGGCACTAACAACCTGTCCCTCAATGTGAGTAAGACAAAGGAGGTTGTGATGGACTTCAGGAGAAACTCCGTTGACCACCCCCCACTGACCATCGACAGCTCGACTGTGGAGAGAGTCAGCAGCACTAAATTCTTGGGGGTGCACATCACAGAGGATCTCACCTGGACCACCAACACCATGTCACTCTCCAAGAAGGCACAACAGCGCCTACACTTTCTCCGCCGGCTGAAAAGAGCAAGTCTCCCTCCACCCATCCTCACCACATTCTATAGGGGCACCATTGAGAGCGTGCTGACCAGCTGCATCACTGTCTGGTATGGGAACTGTAGTACAGCAGACCGCAAGACCCTCCAGCGGACAGTGAACACAGCTGCAAAGATCATCGGTGCCCCTCTCCCCTCCATTCTGGACATTTTCCTTACACGATGCTCCAGTAAAGCCACCAGTATCGTGAAGGACTCCACCCATCCCTCCCATTATCTCTTCCAGCTCTTGCCATCAGGAAGACGGTATTGGAGCATCAGAGCCTGCTCTGCAACACTGCTCAACAGCTTTTTCCCCCCAGGCTGTGAGAGCCCTCAATTCCAATCACCTCACCCCACGCTGAAAACCCCATTCACAACCCTACCTCCAGAAACCAAGATCCTCTCACCATGGAGGGTCAGAAAGCTCTCGGATTTCATCAAAAATATTTTAATTTGTGTCCGAAGATGAACGAAGGTCCTATGGGTTTGGAACAGTACCGTCGCAAGGGCTGGGCCAAGTGTGCGACCGCACAGGGCCTCGAGCCTCTAGAGGACCACGCTCCCTGCATTTTATGTCGTTTATGTCAAATTTTTTACTGTTTTTCCACCCATTTTGTCCTTTGAAAGACTAAAATAGTCATAGCTGATAGACAGTATACGACTCTGTGTATGAGAATGTGTGAAGCTGTTTGTTGTTAGGATGACAAAAAGTTTTAAAAGTTAAACTTTTAGGCTGGTCTGCCTCAGTGGTCCAACAGCGCTCGTCAATGTCAAAATGTTCGAGATGGCCAATCAAATCAAAGAAGTACAGTAGTACTGTATTAGAAAACTGTTTTACGATAGAAATGTTCAGCGACCGACAGTAATAGACTATCTAGTGATACAAACTACTCAACTTTTTATACAATTTCGCCACTTTTAATTGAAAATATGCAATTATGATTCATGTAAATCATAAATGAACGTGACAAGAGACGTTTGCGTTTTCGACTATTAGACATACGAATAAGAGTGAATGTGCACATTTTAAAATAAAATATTATTTTAAAATAGTGTAAATTGATTACTACTTCATATGAAGAGTTCAGATGCAAAAGCCTCTGAGTGCCGTTTGAAATTTTCTTCTAAAATGAAAATTTTTATCAGGCTCCTATGTGTAGGTTCAGTAATTTCACTTTAATGGCAATGAATAGTTTCTTTTCTTTCCAATATAAGTAAAATAACTAAACATAAACATAGGAGCTTGAGGAAATAACCATTTTAGATGGAACTTAGAGAGGCTTTTGCATCTGAACTCTTCATATATAACTACAAACCTAGAACTTATTTTATCATTCTTATTTACTTATTTAATTGCTTTATTATTATTATGCAGTAGATCTTACAATTATTATAAGCGTGTGCGTGACCGTGATTCGTGCGCAAGCATGTCAGTGAGCACGGCATCACAATCGATCAGATGTGTGTTAAAGTTGCGTTCGTTACTATAGCGACCCCCCCCATCCCACACACACACACACACACACACACACACACACACACAATTGCTGAGGGCCTCGCACGTCAACTTCGCACAGGGCCTTGCGACAGCCATGTTTGGAATGACATGAGGGTGAGTAATTAATGGCAGCATTTTCATTTTTGCGTGAACTATACCTTTAATAGAAGCTATAGACATTTTTACTGGACAAACTGACAGTGACTGAGTTAAAGATGAAATGAAGAGCTGCTCAAACCTCTCTGTTCAGTTTGTCTCCTCTTTCTCTCAGCTTTGCCTCCAGTGAAGCCACCTCTTTCTTCAGCTGACAGATTTCTGTGATGAAATCCTCAATATCCAGCATGGACAGATCAGTTCCTACTGATTTACAGCAGACCACATCCACCTGCGCTTTCATGCTCAACATCTGAACACAAACACACCATGATTATTACAATATATACAATATTTATAATAATAGGGTAGGAGTAGGAATATCAGCTATATAACATTTTATTAATATCTAACACTTCAATTTAGCTGCATTTAATAAACTATACGCCATAACTGAACTATGACTGAGATTTAATCGATTTTAGGCATCCTTCAAAAGTGTCCAGCAAACAATAGTTATATGGTTATATGCTGCACACTTTTACTTTAGGCACAAATTTACCAGCTTTACTGTAATTACTGTAAGTAAAACAATGGTAAATTTGTGCTTAGCCTAATGTGGTTTTATTACAAATACCTAAGTTAAACTCTGGTTACTGTAGTAAAGCCTATAGGTTAATTTTCCTAAACAGATTTGTATAACGAACGCTTCATTTAAGCTCATTAGCGCACTAAAGACAACAAACACATAAATAGTTCAAACACATACCGAGACTATAAGCGCTCCAACCGTCTTTCCTTCTTCAGCGCTTTTACCGGTGGATTTACTGGACTAAGATATGCTCACAGCGCCTCCTACAGCACGAGAAGTGCTCATCTGAGTCAGAACGCCTGCGTGTTAGTAGATATTCTTTCTGCGCCTGCTTTCCTCATTAAAATAAAAACTGCACATTTCATTTCAGTGTACACCGTCATGCTTGCACAGCCCAAAAGACACGATTACATTTTTGAAACGTATAAACTGTTGTGTTTAATGATTTTTCTAAAGTAAAATAAAAATTTAATTAGTAGACAAAAAGTACCCGGATGAACGACCACCTCCACCAAGATTCTGAGGCGTGCATTCGACAGACACTTACTGTCCCATGAGACCACCGGAGCAGATTTATGAAGGACTTTGAAGTGACAAAACTGAACTGACTCTGGGTAGGTTACATGACAGTAACTGGAAAGACTTTTCACCGTGAGTCTTCAAGTGAACCTTTAGACTAGAATGAATGAAAGAACCCTTCACGCACTGTTCACAGTGAAACTCCTTCTTCAGACCCACCCTCTTGTGCTTTTGTAAATTATCAACCTTACTGAAACTCTTCCCACAAACGCTGCAGTGATATGGTTTCTCTCCGGTGTGAATCCGCTCGTGACGATTCAGATTAGATCTTTGACGGAATAGTTTGTCACAGTGTTTGCACTGAAACGGTTTCTCATCAGAGTGTACACTTTGGTGTGACTTTAGAGAAAATAACTGCCTAAAGGTTTTCCCACATATACTGCACTGATACGGCCTCTCATTGGTGTGAACACGCACATGTGTCTTCAGATGAGATCCATGATTGAAGCTCTTCTCGCAGTGAGGACACTTGTACGGTCTTTCTCCCGTGTGGATTCGCTTATGAGCAAGAAGATATTGTTTGGTGCTTAAATACTTGTCACATTCGCTGCAGTGGAAAGACTTTTCACCGTGAGTCTTCAAGTGAACCTTTAGACTAGAATGAATGAAAGAACCCTTCACGCACTGTTCACAGTGAAACTCCTTCTTCAGACCCACCCTCTTGTGCTTTTGTAAATTATCAACCTTACTGAAACTCTTCCCACAAACACTGCAGTGATATGGTTTCTCTCCGGTGTGAATCCTCTCGTGACAATTCAGATTAGATCTTCGACGGAATCGTTTGTCGCAGTGTTTGCACTGAAACGGTTTCTCATCAGAGTGTACACTTTGGTGTGACTTTAGAGAAAATAACTGCCTAAAGGTTTTCCCACATTCACTGCACTGATACGGCCTCTCATTGGTGTGAACACGCACATGTGTTTTCAGATTAGATCCATGATTGAAGCTCTTCTCACAGTGAGGACACTTGTATGGTCTTTCTCCCGTGTGGATTCGCTTATGAGCAAGAAGAGATTGTTTGGTGCTTAAATACTTGTCACATTCGCTGCAGTGGAAAGACTTTTCACCGTGAGTCTTCAAGTGAACTTTTAGACTAGAATGAAAGAAAAAACCCTTCCCGCACTGTTCACAGTGAAACTCCTTCTTCCCGCTGTGCTCTTTTGAATGAAGTCTCCTCTCTTCTGCGGTAGGAAAGCTGGTGTTAGTGAAGTATTTCTGTTCTGTGTGTTGTCTCTCGTGTCTCGTTAGGTTTCCCTGTGAACTCAGTGTTTTTCCACAGGTGGCGCAGGAGAAACTCTTGACCGTCAGCTGCTCGTTTGATGTTAAGTCTGTTTCTCTGTCAGAAGATGAACAGCCTTCGTCATCTGAAATGAACAAAATGGTTATAAATTTTGGGTTTTAAAATATATTTGAGATTTGTTTGTGTCACTCAGGAAATATACAGAAATTCTGTAATGATCTGTCTATATAAGTCTAGGGGTAAACCATTAATAAAAAAATAAAATAATCACAATATGGTTTAGTGCAGTTATCAAATTGCAAAAAGTTAATTAAATATGCACAGACATTAGGGATGTCAACGATTAATCGATTATCGATTAATTGTCAATAAGAGATGCAATTGATTAAAAGCTATCATGGTCGATTAAGCCGTTTAATTTTGGGCTGCGTGCGGCTCATGCGCAAAACACGTGCGAGCGGCTGTGAGTGACTGTGACGGTATATAAATGCATCATCATTCATTCATAATGTACAAATTAAGCTTTTAATGTGATTTAAACTTTAAAGGTACATTAAAATATAAACAACACAAAGTTCTTCAACATGGAAAGTAATAGAAATGTTGTATCTAATTTCCCCAGATAATTGTTTCATATCGTGCGCTTTGCAAGGCTGCGGTAGGACAGATAGGCTATAGGCTATTCATTCCTACAACTTGTTAATTCGTTCCTATGACTTGTTAATTTGTGGCCACTCTCCATGTTTCATTAATTTTGTTCCTTAAATTACCCATGATTTAACTAAAATGAGGGAACAAATTAATAAATCGAACGAATTCTTAATTCATTGCCATGAAATCTTTAATTTCACTTCCCGCATGTTTACCACAGTAAGAGATGCGAAAACGGTGATAAAAAGTGAATGACAATCAAATAAGCCTGCGAAATTAGAGGGTTAGATGGTGAGGATTTAGGAAAAGAAACAATGCCTACATATTATTGAATTTGTGGAAATTCTTGACCAACCAGCAAACCAGAACAAAGCCATGTAAATGGATTCGAACGACATCCAAAAGCATGGTCGCGACAGATTTAAAACAGAAGTGTGGCGCGGCGCTCCATAAACAAGCTCACGGAAAAGGCCAGGATGACAAAGCGCATTCTGTTTGTTTGCTTTATTTTACAAAAGCACAAATCTTCTGTTTTAATTGTGAGTGTGCAAAAATAAAAGTAAACATTTGTGGATTATATCTTACTCCAAAAATTGAGTTTTTTTATGTTTCAGCTGTTCGATCGCGCCGGCGCCTATAGCGCGCACACCCCACATATTCTAGCAATTCATATTTACATCGCAGTCTGTTCATCATCAAAATAAAATACAGTCAACCAAACAAATAAAAAGTTACACTGGTCAGTTTAAATAGACCGTAGTATACCGGTCCACTCTGCTGTTAAGGACGTTTCTGCTCATGTGAAGAGGATGATCTTTTCCGTCTATATGCGAATGCGTGTAAAGTACAAGTCTAGTTTACATTATAAATAATAGTTTAACATTAAAATACATTGAGAATATGGAAACATTTGGATTTGTGCCGAATGAGACGTGAGCAATAACCTCCAAATCGAGCCAAACCCGCGCTCGCTCGTCCTCGTATGCACGCACGCATGCACTGTGTTGCGGGAGAGAGGAAAAAGGAGTTGCCGCTTTAAGACAGCTATGTACGGGAGTTGTAGTCCAGAGTGAGATGCATTATGTGTAATGTAGTTCAGTGTGAAATGTGCTGGAGAGACGTGCCCTCACTGTGTGCTGTGCAGTTGAGAACTGAGGGAGAAAGTTTGTATTCCGCTTAAAAGTTAAGTCAAGTCAGTCCACCCAGGAGCTGTTTTGCACTGTGAACCTGACAACATGAGAACGAGTAAAAAAATGGCATGCATCGGTAATTTTGTCCGTCTCTTCCTTTGCACGAACATGAATTGACGAGCTGTTACGCTGCCGCCGGGAGTCGCTGAAGCGGAGAAAGTAACACTGGGGGCTCGAGTCCGGGATTCGTTCGTCGCAGGTGGTGAGACATACGGACATTTTAAACTGTTAAACCGAACCAGACGTTGTTAGAGAAAAAGTGGAAATGGCGGATACTCGGGAGAGAACGCAAGTGGTGAGAAAACATTCTCATTTAAATACAAGCAGCCTGTGGAATCCTGCGATGTCGGAAAGAATAAAGGAATCATTCATTCAGTGCCATCTGATGAGTTTGTATGTTTACAAAAATGTCTCTATCCACGTCTCTTCTCCTCTTTCTCAACTGGTGCTAAAGTAGCTGCTCCAAAGTCAAAGGTTTAATTCTTAAGAAACACACTCAACTAACTAACAGGCAACGTTCTCATTATTTTGGCAGGGTTCTCTCAAAGTTATGAACAAATGTTCTTCCAGTAATGTTCGTTAAAACGTTCTTTATGAACGTTCGTTAAAAAGTATGTGGTCAAGCACAAACTCATGATTTAGCCTATACAACCTTCGTGCTACGTTTTTAATTGCACTACCTGTTTGAGAGATCATTCAAAAATAACATTTCCATAATGTTTGCACAATTATAAAATGGAATGTTCCTTTAACGTTCGCATAACCATGAAAAACGTTTAAAAATGGACAATGAGAGGACATTCAGATTACATTCAAATACAAAATACAGCCAGAATTTTCTTTAAGACACTTAAAATAAAATCATCTACCAAATGCATATACAGTATCTCACAAAAGTGAGTACACCCCTCACTTTTCAGCAACCATTTTAGTATATCTTCTCAAGGGACAATACTATAGAAATGAAACTTGGATATATTTTAGAGTAGTCAATGTGCTGCTTGTATAGCAGTACAGATTTACTGTCCTCTGAAAATAACTCAACATACAGCCATTATTGTCAAAATAGCTGGCAACAAAAGTGAGTACACCCTAAGTGATAACAGCTGTATGTCGTTTAACCATGCAAAGCCACATGTACTATTCATCATGTTCAGGTTTTTGTCTGCTTGACAGGACCATACAAATTTGTGTATCTTGTATTAGAGCAGTTAAAATTTGGTGCTTTGAGTACAATTCTCTCATACAGACCACTCGATGTTCAACATGGCACCTCATGGCAAAGAACTCTGAGGATTTGAGAATTAGAATTGTTGCTCTCCACAAAGATGGCCTAGGCTATAAGAAGATCTGTAACACCCTTAAACTGAGTTGCAGTACAGTGGCCAGGGTCATACAGAGGTTTTCTAAGACGAGTTCCACTCGGAACAGGCCTCGCAAGGGTCGATCAAAGAAGTTGAGTCCTCGTGCTGTGCGTCAGGTACAGAAGCTGGCTTCAAAAAACAGACACATGAGTGCTGCCAGCATTGCTTTAGAGGTTGCAGAAGCGGGAAGTCAGCTTGTCAGTGCTCAAACCATACGCCGCACTCTGCAACAAGTCAGTTTGCATGGCCATCGTCCCAGAAGGAAGCCTCTTCTAAAGCTAGCTCACAAGAAAGCCTGCAAACAGTTTGCTGAAGACAACCTGTCCAAAAGCATGAATTACTGGAACCATGTCCTCTGTGGTCTGATGAGACTAAGATAAACTTGTTTGGCTCAGATGGTGTCCAGCATGTGTGGCGTCGCCCTGGTGAGGAGTACCAAGGAAATTGTGTCTAGCCTACAGTCAAGCATGGTGGTGGTAGCATCAAGATCTGGGGCTGCATGAGTGCTGCTGGTACTGGGGAGCTGCGGTTCATTGAGGGAAACATGGATTCCAGCATGTACTGTGACATTCTGAAGCAGAACATGATGCCCTCCCTTCAGAAACTGGGCCGAACGGCAGTTTTCCAACATGATAACGACCCCAAACACACCGCCAAGATGACAACTGCCTTGCTGAGAAAGATGAAGGTGTAGGTGATGGAGTGGCCAAGTATGTCTCCAGACCTGAACCCTATTGAGCACCTGTGGGGCATCCTCAAGCGGAAGGTGGAGAAGCGCCATGTGTCTAACATCCAGCAGCTCCGTGATGTCATTATGGAGGAGTGGAAGAGGATCCCAGCAACAACCTGTGCAGCTCTGGTGAATTCCATGCCCAGGAGGATTAAGGCAGTGCTAGATAACAATGGTGCTCACACAAAATATTGACACTTTGGACACAGTTTTGACATATTCACTTAGGGTGTACTCACTTTTGTTGCTAGTTATTTACACAACAATGGTTGTATGTTGAATTATTTTTAGAGGACATTAAATCTGTACTGTTATACAAGCAGCACATTGACTAGTCTAAAGTATATCCAATTTTCATTTCTATAGTATTGTCCCTTGACAACATATAATAAAATGGTTGCTGAAATGTGAGGGGTGTACTCACTTTTGTGAGATACTGTATATCATTTGTTGACTGGCTAAACGAAATGGATGCTCAAGTCTCAAAGACTGATAATAACAACAGTCCATTTAAATGCAGTTCTGCCCCGTGTCCAGCATCCGTTTCAGTAATTAAATGCAGTTCTGCCCCGTGTCCAGCATCCGTTTCAGTAAACAGTCCCACATGTTGCTATGAGCCACAGGTAACACAGCAAACAGCGAGAGCAACCAATCCATTTATTAGTGGGGTGGAAAATGACCATATACATGACAGTGGAATCGATACACAGTGCTACACACAGAGTACTCCAGCAAATTTGAACTACTCACACTCGATATGCACAGATTTAACAGCCAAAAGGATGCTTCAAGGCACACCCACAATAAATCGCCAGCCTTGTAAACATGATGTCTGTGCAACTCAGCATAGCATTCATGAGGATGAAGGTAACACTATGTATTCCATGTCAATGAGTGTTGTATCCCAGAGCTTACTAGGTCCAGCCAACGTGGAAGGAAACCATGTCGGATATTCTGTGACCTGTCATCAGACAGTGGGGAGGAGTGCAATGATCACAGAGAAAGGATCCCCACACTGCGACCAGGTCAGTTTGATGGCTCTACTTCATAGAGAGAATTCTTAAACCGCTTTGAAGATTGTGCCAGAGCTAACCATTGGTCTGAAAGGACAATGACTGTGCAGATGAGGTTATGTCTAGTAGGCGCAGCAGGTGCAGTGATCCACAAGAACCCCAGGTCCAGCCGTTGG